CAGCTCTTCCTGCCATACCTTCCTCCTGACCCCAGTTTCTCTTTGAGCTTGTGTGTAGGTGTGTTGATGAAGGTTCATGTGTGGGAAGAAAGGGTGCAGATATGCTCAAGGATCGCCCCCAGGGATTGTATCTGCACCTTTAGCCCTTGGTGTGGAGCCTAGCACATGACAGGTGCTTGGTAAATGTTTGGTGAACTCACATCTGGGTGAGTGAGCCCCTCGCTCATTGTCAGATAGTGGCCCTCTCCCATTCCAGGACAGCAGGGGCAGAGGGCTTGGCTGGGAAACAGCTGATCCAACTCACTTCTCAGCCCAGAGCCTCTTGAACACCAGATTCAAAACCTGAGAGGCTCTAAGCCCAGAAAGAACGGGTCCCCAGCTCTTCTGGTGACAGGTTTCCTTGATAGCAATTGATTGTTCTCTGGCCTCAGCTGGAAATTTCTGAGATGTCCTTGCCAGTCCCAAGGAGAAGTATGTACTAACATACTAATGTAACTTTGCCCAGGAAAGAGGCTGCATCCTGGGGGATGTAGAGTAAAAGGAAGAGTATTTTGATTGGATTTCTTCATTCCTTGGCAGGATAAAGCCAACTTCTTTTCCATGGGCTGGGCAGGCTGAGTCCTGGACTGGGCAAGAGTTGAGGACACTTCCCGAGGGCCATGCTTGTAGTTCTTCTGTAAATTTGTCTCCACAGACTTAGTAAATTCCGTCACATGCCAAGCCTGGAAAAGGGTGGTCCGAGGGTACCAAGATGTTGATGGCATCACCTTTGCCTCCTGAGAGGAGCTTCTGCTGGTGAGAAGAAACTCAGGTAAGGCCAGCCATGCTAAGAGGCCAAGACAATGTAGATAGGACATTTATGGAAAATCTTCCACTGCAGCTTTTTCCCCACTCCCCAAACACAAAATTATTTATATTTTCTAAATGTGGAGATGTACATTCATTCACTCATTCAGCAAATATTTTTTGAGTATTCCCCCAAACAAAACTATGTGCTGCCTGTCATAAGCACGTGTTCCCGGACTTCACCTAATCGCTTATGTTCCACTGGGCTTTCGCATGGTAGCCTCAGTCTCTGCATTTCCCTTTACATCCAGGTCTCTGAATTCCCAAATATTTTCTCTTTCGCGCCTGCTTTTTTGATTTGAATCCCACTCTCCAGTGATTGGTAAGGAGTGAGTTCACTGACTAGGAAATCAAGTCTCTCCACTTACTCAATTAGCAGAAGCCAATCTGTCTGTTCTGGTAGGTTCCACCCCACCCCCACCCCCGCTCCCCCCTGCGCCACACATGCGCGCATGCACACACACACACACACACACACACACACACACACACACCTCTGCAACTCAGAAGAGAGGGTCTATTCCTTTGCAGACAGATGGAATGATGCACAGAGAGATAAATTCACTCTGTTAGAGCAAGTCCAGCAAGGGAGGACACCAAGCCTTCCAGGTTCCTGGCCTTTCTTACACACATGATCCCTCCCAGAGGGAGTTAAGAGGCAAGAGGGTCGAGCACTCTGGGTTCCTCCACCAAGACGCCCACCTTACCCATAAATCAGTTTCCAATCTAACCCCTCCCTTGGGGTTGAGTTACAAACCTCAGTAACCCCAGGGCGGCCTGCCTGGTAATTCCTATTATTCAGCTGTCAGCTGTTTTTTTAAAAACCTCCCTTCCCAGTGATCCCGTTACCAGAGTTTTAGAGCCCATTCCTTGTCTCAGAGAGAAACCCTATAGCCAGGTGAAACAATGGAGGGGGCTCCTGCCTGCTTTCTACAGGGAGCTGGGTTTTCTCTTCTGCTGAAAGCAGCCTCCCCTTAACTCTTTGCATTCCCTCCCCGATTGTCGGGAGTGGTGTGCCTCCCTCTCAGGCCTCCAGCCGATGCCTTTCGGAGTAACTTTGCTTTTCTCTGGGCAAAGTTTTGCCTCCTAGAGCCAGCATCAGTTAGCAGAGAAGAAAAACAAGCTGGGGCAAGGAGTGGGTAGAGAGAGAGAGAGAAGAGATTCTTCAAAACAACTGCTGCTGTGGCTGCAAGGTATATTTGCTCTGAGCCCAGTCACAAGTCCAGGGTTCTTCTGTTCCTAGGGTGCTGCTCTTGGTAGGGGGCTCCGAGCCCAGATCTCCAGCCCAGCAGGTCCTGACGTTGCGGAGTCTGCCCTGTGCTGGAAGGGGAGAAAGGGCACAGAGGGAGGGGTCTGCTTTGACAGTGATGAGAAGTGGGGAGTGAGGCTTCTGACCTCCCTGACCCCTTTATCCCTGACAGTGTTTTCTGGTCCCTCCAGCTCAGAAGGCTGGGCCCCTGCTGCTTGACCTTAGAGGCTGAGAGCACAGGAGGCCGAGCCATTCTTGATCTCTTCAGAAGGAACCCGAGGGAGCAGGCTGGGAAGGCCTGGGAGAGAGGACGGAGAAGAAATGTCACTAGAGGGTGTGACCCTTCTATCTTGCAACCTGCCCAGACCCACTAAGATGATCCCCTCTGCTCCCCAGCCTCATTCCCCTACAGTGGTGTATTTAAACCTTTTATAGAGTCACAGACCCCTTTGGGAAACTTTTGTAAGCCACAGAGCCACCCCCACACACAAAAATATCTGTGTGAACCCACAAACACCATTTAGCCAGTTTCAGGGGTTCACAGACCCTAAAGCTGAGGAGACCCTGGTGAGTCTGGCAAATACGTGGATCCCAGGTTAAAACGTTTCTCTATCAGCTTCCTTGCCTCGTGAACCCAATTCCACCTTGCAGGGCTATGGTGAAGCAGACAGAGCATTTGCAGCGCAGGTGGGTCGGGAGAATCAAGATGACCCGTGCCCCGTGGGGCCTGTGCCGCCCCAGAGGACAGACTCAGAGCTGGTTTGTCCTTCAGTTCTATTCCTGACCCTAAGTAATGCCCAGAGGCCCAACTGGCCTGCCTGAGATACTGGCCCAGGAGGAGAGCCACTAAGAAGAGTAGGATGCACGGAAGGAGGTGTGTGTGTGGCAAACATGGTGAGGGCTCCCCAGTGCCCTGCATGGAGGCTGGGCTTGGTCTTCTCATCTGCCCACATATGGCATGAGCGCTAGGTCACCCTGACCAGCTCTGACACTCCTTCTTGGCCAAGCCTCCTGGTAAAATAACATACCTCCTTTTGGCTCCGGCACCTTTTTTTTTTTTTTTTTTTTTTTTTTGCGGTACTCGGGCCTCTCACTGCTGCGGCCCCTCCCGCTGCGGAGCACAGGCTCCGGACGCACAGGCCCAGCGGCCACAGCCCACCGACCCAGCTGCTCCGTGGCATGTGGGATCCTCCCGGACCGGGGCATGAACCTGTGTCCCCTGCATTGGCAGGCAGACTCCCAACCACTGCGCCACCAGGGAAGCTGCTCCGGCACCTCTTTCTGGACATCTGTCAACTTCTGTGGGGACTGGGCTGATGGCCAAGCTTGACTTTCCCCCTTTTCCCTTTTCCCTCTTCTCCATCCTTTTGGGGACAGTTTTTCCTATTCTAGCAACCACAGCCCTCATGCCTTGTCCACTCTCTTTCAGGTACCCTTCGAGGGAGCTAGGGAAAGAATTGGTAGGAAAAAGGTACAAGGAGACTTCAGACTCCACTGAGCTAAGAGTTCCAGCTCCACTTAGCTTAAATCTGTCTGAGTTTACTACCCAGAAAGAGCATCTTGGTGGTCAGAGCACTGCCAGTCCCCACTGTCCCCTGGGTCAGGTCCCATCATTGATCACCTAATCTGTTGCAGGGACTGCTCCCTCTCACTGATTTCTGGTCTCTTCATTTATCTTTCCTCAAGTCCAGGCTTGGTCAAGTGAGTCATCTTCTATAAAATCTTTGCTGTCTCCCCTTTGCCTCCGGAATAAAATGCAGACTCCCCAGCCTGCCATTCCAGGGACACTTCTGTAATCTGATCTGAACCTCCCTGCCCATGCCCACCCTTCCTCAATCCGGGTGTGTACCCAATGATCCTGTCCTCCAGCCTGCCCTTGCTCCCTGGACAAGTTTTCCAGTTCAGCTCTTTATCCTGCTCAAGCTAGGTCTTGGCTATTTTATCTGGCTTTCCTGATTAAAAATTTGCCCCATCCTTCGAGGTCCAAGTCAAAAGCCACCTCCCTGAAACCTTCCCCAGTCTGCATTCTGAATTTTTCTGCATTCCCAGCAGCCGTTATCCCTGGCGTTAACACATTTCATGTTGCTTTCCATTATTTTCCGGTCTACTTCTCTAGGTAGGTTATATGCTCCCTGAGGGCAGGCACCAGGTTTTTGGCACCTAGCCCAGTAGCTGGCACAATGTAGGTGCTCAATAAATGTTTATGAAATAGCCCAGAGACTCCCTTGCCGATAGTTTGCGGTCTGCAGGACACGTTGCTTTCCTTGCAGCCCCAGAACCATCTCTGGGTGCTGCCATGAACAGGACGCGTGTCAACTGCCCAAGCAGCCCCTGCATTCTTGCTCTCTCCTCTCCTCGGCCAGATGTTAATGTTGACTATCCACACCCAGTCAAGAAGAGGACATGAGGGTCCCTTTGGATGTGTTTGATCTGAATGTTACTCGATAACAATGTCAGACACACGTGTTCTCAACCTTCCTACAGCTTTGGGGCTGAAGCTTTCTCCTGACCTGCCCAGCAGCCAGGAGGATGCTTTGCCACTCCCCGCTTCCTCCTCTTCCACTCCCTTTCTGGACGCGCCAAAATTATTCGGCCCCTTGAAAGAGAAGACAAAAGTCACTTTGGCGCCCCCTGTCTCCCTCCTAATAGGGAGGACTGAAGGGCTCGCGAGTGCTTCCCGAGCCGGCTTTAGGAACCGAACCTGCGTGGGCGACGGCGCTCCAATTGCGTTTCTGCAGGAGGTCGGAATTTGGCTCGGCCCCTTGCAGTGTTTCCAAGGGAAGGTTCGTACATTCGTGACCGTCCCTGGCAGCCGCCCAGCCCGGGACTTGGGGTTCCACTCGCCATTGGCCAGCCGTCGGTGTGACGCGCCAGAGGCGGGGCCTCATCAGCTGTTTGCGGGATGCCCCGAGCGGGCGTATTTTGGAAACAATACCGCGCGGTGCAGAGTGGCCTCCACCCGCGCCAGCCCGCCTGCCGCCGCCGCCGCCCCTGCCTGCGCCTCCCGCCTCCCGCCTTCCGCCGCAGCCCGGTGAGCGCCCGGGCGGCAGGGGGCCGGGCGGTGTTGGATCGCACCTCCTTGGGGAAGTGGGGAGAGGATCGCGCTGCGCGTGGGGGCCCGGGAAGGGTTGGGCTGCGGGCGTCTAGAGTGACCATGGACTGGGGCGCTGGGGTATGGGAACGGGGTACAAAACCCACATCTAAGTGCGCTGCTCCACGAAGGAACGTGGGGGTAGTAGCATTTGAGACTCCAAGGAGTTGGGTCCAGGTGGGCAGGGGAACCTGCGGTGCACTGCTGAGCAGACCTGGGCGCTCGAGAATGGCCCGGCCTCTGGATCTGACTTTGGGGTAGGGCAGGGAGTTGTGGGACGTCCTGCATCCCTGCGGAGTCTGAAGGCTCCTCTCCTTAACAGCCGGGCTTTTCCCCTCCTTCCCAACTGAGTTTGGGCGCCAAGCCCCCGAGTGCTCATCACGCTGGACCCTGGCGCGGAGCCCTGGCATCACGACTCGGAGGCCGAGATTCTCTCCTGGAGTCACCCAGGTCTGCTGTGTGTTGTGTGAGTGCGTGAGTGTGTGTGTGTGTGTATATGTATGTGTGCGTTCCCAGATTTTAGCCCTCGTCGAGGTTCAGAATGTCTAGCTACTGCTTCTCCTAGGAGAAGGAGTCTGAGTTCAGCATCCCTGTTAGAGTCCTTAAGGGCTGGGACGGCTCCAGCAGGCTTTAGATCCCCTTGCTAGGAATAAAGACTTCCCTGGTAGTGCACTTAGGAAGTGCCCTTCTCCTGTCGGTTTGCACACCACCTCTTCAGCTCAGGGGAAGGGGAGAAGAAGGTCTCTTTACTGTATCTCAGTTTACACTTGACCTTGTCCAGCACCTGTCCAGAGGCTCCCACCTGCAGAAGAGCCACCTGCAGTTCCTGTGGATAGTGGGAAGGGTCCCCCTCAGGCTTGCAGAGCCACACCCTCTGGCTGCACCTCCCCCACTGTCCAGTCCAGGCAAGGGTGGAATTTGGGGCTTTGCTGGGAGCAGGTGGGGGAGGTGATAGGCTTCAAAGGAAAACCCAAGACAATGACTCCTGACTGTGATTGGCTTTGGAGGGCCCCATCTTAGGTTGGGATTGCCAATTTGCAGAGAGGAGGTGGAAGGGCAGGAGGGGAGCCCCTGCCAGGTGACTGGCAGGACAGCACTTGGCCCTTTCAGCGGGAAACCTTGTTTCCTGGTACTGATAAAGTGTAGTTCTCTCACTCCCCTTTGGGAAACACTGTCCAAAGAATACCATGTGCCTGTTTTGCCATCCAAGCGGGCATCTCCTCGCTGTCCAGGGAAGAGGGCAGGATAGGGACCATAGATAGCTCAAGGACAGGATGGGATGGAGGGAGGGTTGAAGCAAGCACTTCAGAGAGAGCTCGCATTTGAGAAAGCCAAGATTTCTGAATTTAACTGAGCTTCCTTAAATACTTTACCAACCCACAGACCATTTGGCTTGTTCTTCAAAGTCGAGAGACTGGGAGACAGAATTCCCAGGGGACCTCTAATTGACTCTGGCAATGACAAACACTGTCTCTGTATCCTTAACCATTCAGGTGGTTGCTTTTCTGGCTGCCTCAGGGACCCTAAGGGGTTCCTGGTGTGTGTATAAGGGGTTGACTTGGGAGCTCAAGATGCTGCGTGGCTCCACGCTCAGACTTCCAAGAGCCATCGGGTGGAGCAAGTGGAACTTCTTTATCAGCAAGAAACTCATGTCAACAACCTGAGGAGTTTAGGCGGCGAGTGAGGTCACAGACAGAGGGCTAAATTTCACTTCCTTTTGTGAGGCAGGTTGTACGAATCTCAGGTTCAGCGCTGGCAGGAGTGGTAGGCTGTGGGGGAAGATTTGAAGTTGTGGAGACTAGTGAGTAGACTGAGCTGGGGTAGGCTGGCCGCTTTGCTGGATGCTGGACCTCCCCTCTAGGCTAAGCTGTGGTGGGCAGACAGCTGTACTCTGCTGAGAAGGCAGCTGCAATGACTAACCTGGGTTTTTCTCCGCTCTCTCTCCCAGGACACACTCTTACCACATCGTTCAGCCTGTTTGTTTTGTTGAGCAAGCAGGGGGTGGAGACTAGGGTCTTGGGTAGGGCTTAGCAGGTTTGGAGGGAACCTGGCCACCCTAGGACTGCTGGCTTTTGTTTTTTGCTGCTGAGCCCGGAGCTCAGCTCAGAGTGAGATGAGAGTTTGGTGGTTACTCCTCAGGCCGGTGAGTGAGTGTGCGTGTGTGTGTGTTGTGAGCACTGTGTGTACAGCCAGTCACAGCGCCCTCTGCCTTCCCACAGCTACTCATAGAGGCTAGTCTTGTTGACATTTCTCCAGGTACCCTGCGTGCTTGTAGCAGCTGATCATACCCCTCTATGGCTCAGAGTCGATAGCAGTCAAACTGCATGACCGTGACCAGCCTGGGTTAGAAGAAGAGGCCGAGGGGAGGGAAGGTGGTTCTGAGTGGGCCCAGGGAAGAAGCGTGGAGAGTCTCAGAACTGGGAGGCAGCCCACATGAGGGGCAGTGTCACCCTTGGCAGTGCTTTAGCTCTAGGGTTGTCTGTCGTCAGTACCTGACCCCGCTTCTCCACGTAAGAAGGGGGAGCAGGAGAGAAGGAAGGGGAGGGGAGTCCTTCCAGGTATAGCCTGGGTGGGGGCAGCCTCCCGGATGCCTGCATTGCACCCTAACAGGGGAGATGGAGCCACCCCAGTGTGTGGAGGAGCTGGAGGATGATGTGTTCCAGCCAGAGGATGGGGAGCCGGGGACCCAGCCTGGGAGCTTGCTCTCTGCTGACCTGTTTGCCCAGAGCCAGCTGGACTGCCCCCTCAGCCGTCTGCAGCTCTTCCCTCTCACGCACTGCTGTGGCCCTGGGCTTCGACCCACCAGCCAGGAAGACAAGGCTACCCAGACTCTCAGTCCAGCCTCCCCAAGCCAGGGTGTCATGCTGCCTTGTGGGGTGACTGAGGAACCCCAGCGACTCTTTTATGGTGAGTGCTCTTAGCCTCAGGACTCCTCCCTTAGAGACTGGGGGAAAAGAGGGGACTTTCCCTCCCCAAACCTGCGCTTTGCTATTTCCTTCCCCAAATTGAGCAGCAAGGGCTGTCGATTCTTCAACTCTCACCTGCTGCTTCTCTGCTTGTTACTGCTCCTCACCTGTGCTCCTCAGGCCCCAAGCAGGGCAGACTGCCTTGCCATTCTTTCTGCTCTTTTGTCCCTTTCTGGAAGGATCTTTGGGTCCATGGTGTCTCCTTGGGTTGGAAGAAGGGTACCTGGGTCTCGGCCTTTACATCCTGTGGCCTGTTGTGTGGCCCAGCCCTTTGTGTAGTGATAGTGATGTACCTTCTGTAAAGTGGCTAACGCTGCGTGGGGAAGGCTGGGGGATCTGTGACTCGCTGTTAACACTGAAGGGAAAAACCCAGCCTGTTCTGGGAGGGTAGGTTCCTGAAGGCAGAAGGTGGCCCCCAGCTGTCACTTGGGACTTTCTGTGCTTGGAAGGGGAACTGGAGAAAGAGGTTGGGCCTGCCTGGGCTCAATGCCAGCGAAGGGGCTGTTTCCAAGGCTCAATCAGACAAGACCCCTTCATTTGTGGGCTTCAGTGGTTGGTTTTATGAGCAATCTGCCTTCCTCTGGCAAAAGGGCAGGGTTAGACACTCAGTCTGTTTTCTTCATTTAGCACAAAGCTTCTGGAGAGAGGGCCGAGGTTTGGAGGCTATCTTGCTGTGTCTGACGGAGCAGATTGAGGAGACGCTGCAGTTATTCCCAGGGGGAGCTGCCCTATAGGACAATTCTGGCAAAGTAGTCCTGGCAGGAGTCTGAGAAGATAGATAAGGCAGGCGGGGAAGAGGGAAAGACGGGAGCAGGCCAGCGGGCGCCCCTAGTGGCAGCTCTTGGTAAGTGAGGAGCGCAGGTCTAGAGGTCTGGCCTGGGGCTGCCTCCAGAAAGGAACTTGGCTAATCTGTGGCTCAGAGGAGTCCTCTCTCCGTATTTTTTTGTGCCACTGCCCAGAGCTTCAGGGCCTGAGACCAGCCTTCCTCTGCTGCACTAAAAAGCGAAGATACTTTTTTGCCTTTCTCGTTCTCTGTCCCCGTGCTTTGCTCAACCCAGGAACTCTGGAGAGCTGCCTCCAGTGCTTTTCCAGAGAAGAGCTTCAGCCTGCTACTACTATATGAGGGTAATAAATAATAAACTGTGGTCAAGCGTAGCTGGGTAAATAAGGACAGAAGGTTGGCAAGCTCACCCACACCTATTACCTTTGCCATGGCACTGCCGGTGAATGGAGGACTGAAGGCAAGGCTGGGACCATTCCCTTCTCTTCTCCAACAGCAGCTTTCACACTCTTGGGCGGCAAACAAGTCAGGCTGTCCACGTTTGGCAGAGTGCCCTGCTAAAGGCAGACTAAGTTCCTCTCCTTTCCCACACTAGGGTCTACCCTTGGCCCCAGGTCTCGGCCAGGAGTGGCAGGCATGGGGAGGATGAAGCAGCTGTGAAGCATGCTGAGATGTGGGCCCTCTGTCTTTGCAGGCAATGCCGGCTACCGGCTCCCCCTCCCTGCCGGTTTCCCTGCAGGCTTGCCCCTTGGTGAGCAGCCCGCTGAAGGGCAGTGGCAACATCGAGCAGAGGTACAGATTGCCCGAAAACTTCAGCGCATTGCAGACCAGTTCCATCGGCTTCATATGCAGCAAGTAGGCATGGGTGACTTTTGGCGGTGGGGGGGTGGGGAGGGGGTGCGTCTGCTGGGGCTGGGGGGCTGGGGCCTGCCTCAGCAGCTCTGTCTCTGCCAGGCCCCAAGGATAAGGTCCCAGAGTTTTGGCCTCATGCTATTGTGCTATTCTCGTGGACTGGATGGGCCTGACTGGATGAGCACTCTTGCCCTCACCTCTGAGATACAAGTTGTTTATCTGCCCACTCTCAGCTCAGGCTCCAGGGAGATGCTACGATCCCTCCCAGGGGATGGGATAGCTTTCTGCAGCCTTGATTGACAGACTCTCTCTTCTTGAGGCCAGGGGTGGGAGATGGTTCCTTACAGACCTAAGGGGAAGATTTTCAGGGTGCTGAGGAAGACTGGACAGTCGGGGGGTGCCTGGCTGCGGTGCAGTGTAAAGTGGGTAACCAAGGCTGGGGATGGGCCTGAGTTGGGGAAAGTGGTGGAACCGGTTGTAACCTGACACTTTCCAGCTGGGGAGGCCGCTTCTCATTGTCTCTGCCTGGGAACCGGGGCCTGGGACTCTGGAGTGTGTACCTCAGAGTCTCTCCAGACCAGCGGCCGGGCGCTCGGCCGGGCCGGGCGCTTGGCCGGCAGCCTGGTACCAGCCCCGCCAGGGCGGAGCATCGCGTGTCAGTGGAGCATGCGGCAGAGCCCATCAACAAAGGCGGCGGCTGGCGGGCTCGTGCTGGAGGAGCCCTACGTGCCATGGGCTGGAGGCTGCCCTGCTCTGCAGCCGCTGTCTGGGCTGCCCCCGGGCACTTAACCCTTCCTCTCTGGGCTGACTTTCTGGATGGCTGCCAAGGTGGGGAGAGGAGCCTGAGGCTGGATCCCTGCTAGTGCAACCACTGCTGAAGCGAAGCCACACCACCTGGAAGTGAACACATTCGCTACCTGTGGGACAGTGTCCGTGGCCCAGTCAGCTGTGTGTGCGTATGTGTGTGTGTGTGTGTGTGTGTGTGTGTGCGCGCGCGCGCGCATGTGTAAGTCTATATCTGACTGTATATCAGGAAATCAAGAGAATGAATAATCCACCATGATTGGGCAGACCCTGAGGTTAGATGGGGAACTTCAGGTGACCAGGTAATAGAAGGTTTGACTTGGCCAGCACCAGGGGGAAGAGAAATTGAGTTTGGATTTCCTGAGAACAGGCCATCTGGGGTTAGATATGGTGAGTGCCCCTGCCAAGGGGTTCTTAGGGAAACTTGGGGCTGTACCTGGTCCTGGTGGCTCTCCCAGGCCCTCAGGAAGGGAGGGTGGTCCTATGCTTAGATAATAAGGCAGCCTGGCCACCTCCTCTGGCTCCAAGCTCTAGCCCCTATTCGCTCCTTTGATTTTTCTGTGGAGACTTGCCTTAGAGTTTCCCCTTCAGTCCATGTGTGGATGCACTCTTGATTCTTGATTTCTGCCTCTTGGCCTTCTTCCTGTCCATTCACTCTGCCCTGGTTGTGTAGGCCTGTGGTTGGCCTGAGCTCGCAGCTTCCGGTCCCGGGGCTGCAGCTGATAGAGGACACGGTGACTGTGGGTCTCCCAGGCTCATCTGGAGAACTATCTGGGAGGCAGTTTTCTGCATTCCCAATAGCCCTGATCTCTCTCAACAGTTCTTTTCCAGAATGTTCAGCCATCCACGGGTGAGCCCCTGTGGGCTTGGGAGCAGGCTGGGAGGCCTCCCTTGCCCAGCTGAGCCCTGGCACAGGACCAGAACTCAGCCCAGGGCCCTTTCTTCCTGACTCAGTTCCGCACAGGAGAAACTGGCCCTGATCCCAGGTCTGACCGTGTTCTTTGCTGCTTGCCATCATTGACCCCCGTCCAGGGCTGTCTCTTTGAAGGCCTGGTTCAACTCCATACAAGGTGCTGTCCTCTTAGCCAGAGCCTTCCAGCTGGGGAGGAGGAGGGGCAGAGGCAGTGGAGAACTGGAGGAGAGTCTCCCCTGCTCTGCACCTCACCTCCTACTGGTTCCTGACTTCCCTGGGCCCCTCACCATCCTGCCAGCTACCTACGCCTACCGTGCAGTGGCAGGAGGCTGGTCAACGAGGCCTTTCTAGCCAAGAGCTGGTTTCCCCAAACTTTCCATTGCAAAGAGCCAGGGTTTTTGTCCACTGGAGTCTTCTTGCTTTTAGCCCCCTCCTCCCCGCTGTCCCTGCTCACTTCCCTAGGAGCTCATCCTGTGGGAAGGGCTGGGGTAATGGCTATGGGCAGATGGAGAGCTGGCACGTGTAGGACCTTTTAGCAGCTAGTTTTAAGAAATGAGTCATTTCTGAACTTGATTATGATATAAACTAATGTCTAAATATTTCGTATCTGCACAATACTGTTGTCACTCTTACATTCTTATCCTTCATCTTCTTTCCCTATTCCTTCCCCTCATCTTTGCAGACAAGGAGACTGAGGCACTGGGATGGAAGTAATTTAGGGTTAAGTCTCTAGGCTTCAGATACAAAGTCAGAAGGCCCAGGTTTGAATGCCAGCTCTGCTACCTACTAGTCACCGGGAAGTCTCTGGCAGAGCCTGTTTCCTCTTCTGTAAATTAGACCTAATGCCAGAGAATCTGATCGTGAAGATTCAGTGAGAAAATACCTACGAGAGTTCCAGGCACACAGTAGGTATTCTTTAATGCTTGTTTTCTTCTTTCTCTCTATAATCCTGATTGTCCCCCACATTTGTTCTTGTCAGTTCACAGTGCATTTCCCACCCCACCTGTCCAGCTGGTCCCTGAGCAGAGCTGCCTCCCGTGAGCTCCCTTCTACCTACCCTGTCCAGAGAAATCAGCGTCAAAGCTGTTCACTTGTGGGTCTTGGCCTTGTACATTTCTCCTAGGAGAATAGTGGTCAGTCTCCATCACTGTGGGCTGAGTTTAAATAACCAAGAAAGACAACCCAAAAGGCAGTAAGAAGGTTGAAGGAGCCTGGCCATCTCCTCTCTCCTCAGGTCTGGGATTGGTGTCCCAGGGCCAGACCATGGCCATGGGTTCCCAACTCCTGTAGGGAATGTAAACTCCTGCCTTTTGTCCCTGGTTAGGGACCTCAGTTACTCTTTTTCTGTATGAGAGGAAGCCTTCTCCCTGGGAGATGTGGAGCACAGGGAAGGGTGTGATAATGGCAGTGTGTTGTAGGATGGCTTTATGGCAAAGTGAGTGCATCAGCATGACTCTAGATGCAACATGGTGCTGGTTTTTGTGGGCCATTAGCCCTCCCAGCATGTTTCTCAAGGAGCTTGCTGGATGGAGCTCTAGCCTGGCTACCCAAGTTCAGGTCAGCCACCTGTTTAGGGTGGTTTCTCTGGGCAAGGAATTGGAAGCAGAAGATCAGTGCCAGTGAGGTGCTTGCTGTCAGCGCTTTGGGTCTCCAAAGCAGCAAGAGACTTTGAAGCAGAGTGAATGGAGGTAAAAGCCTTTCCAAACCTGGTCACACACCCCCAACTTCCTCTGCCTGGGTCAGGAGTGAAAGATTCTCCTCCTTGATCTTCTGTGAGCTGCCCAGCCGTAGCAGGTGACCTCTGGTGGTCTGCGGACGGTGGCCTACCTTGACCTTGGCTCTGTGAGAGGACCCTGGTGTTTCTTGTTTGCCCAGCTTCTACAGGGAAGATGGCAGTACAGGTTTGCTTCCTCCCTGAGCTCAAGGGATGCTCTGGCCAGAAGGTGAGTCCCAGCTTCTCTCCATTCCACCTGCCGTGGTCTCCTCCACCATGAGCCGAAGAGGGGACAGAAGCTGGTGTCCCATCCCCTTAGGAGAGTCTCCTGTCCCAATGGCGCCATCTTGAAAGTTGTGGGATGTTTCCAGGCAATGTTAAGAAGCCAAGAATCCAAAAAAAAAAAAAGAAAAAAGGAAAAAGTGGCTACTGTAGACAGTTGTGTGAGTAAAGCTACAGGATTATTGGAATTCTTCGTGTTGGAAGTGGCTTTTTCACTTGGACCAGGAGTGGCTCCATTCAGAACAATCAGATTTGGAAATTCCCTGAATAGTAATTAGACTTTCTGGAAAATGACATCTGAGAAAAATTTCAGCCACTCAGTTGAAACCATCTTTAGTTGCAAGATCACAGAAAGGATCCTGGACTTAGAGACAAATTCGAGTTCAAATCCCAGCTCTGTCACTTATGAGTTCTGTGTTCACAGGCAAGTCATTTAACTTCTCCGAGCCTCGATTTCTCATGCTCATCTTGTAGAGTTGATGTGAAAGCCCTTTGGAAATTGTAATATGTATAACTATTAATGCGTGGACAGTTTAACACTTGAAAATGGGTTAAAAGATGATCTTAGGATTTTGTTCTTTGGGAGTTCTTTTGGAAGTTGTACCCAAAGTGGTGTTTACATGGATCCTTTGTTCAGGGAGCTCCTAACTACTTCCTGACCCTTTGGGATGCTCTCCTTGTTGGTGAGTGGTTTTCTGGAGCTCAGACTATAGCTAATAAAGTTGTTCAGGCTCTAGATGGGACAGCCCTGGGCGGGAGCCCCAGAGATTCTCCCTAGAGTGAGAAGGGTCCCTATGGAGCCAGCCTCTGTCCCCGGAGTGGAAGGTCCCCCTGGGACATTGCCTGGGGAAGAGTGAGGCTTGGGGAGGGGCTGTGGAGAGCGCTGTGCGTGAGAGCCAGGGCCAGGGCTTGGGGGCCCTGTGTTTGCTCTGTGGCTGGCTCTGTTTATATCGCTCACTATATTTAGCTTCTGAGTCATCAGCGTGGCTGAGTAGAGCTGAGTTCTCCACACAACCCTGCACCTGACTGCTCTCTCTTCCAGGAGAAGGGCCTTGTAGTTCCGGACAGTTCATTCCCTCCCCACCAAGGCAAGCCATGGGGATGGGGTTGGCTTTGTTTTTTTTTCTTGGAGGGGGTGGTGATGGGAGGGAGGACTTTGGGAGAGGTTCTAGAAAAGAGGGATAAAGAAAAACATCTTGTTTGCCTTTTAATCCAAGTCTGGCAACCAAGAGGGCATGTTCCATGACCAGTGCAAGAAGAGCCGGTGTGCGCGGTGAGGAGGAGGGTCCG